TACCGAACAACTCAACATGATCATTATACTGAAACAATTTAAGACTTACTCACACGGACAACATGATTAATACTGAATGCAACAACTCTCGGCCCGAAGCCACCCGAGGCCGCGCGCGATAGGCGCGGGTATCGGCTGGGGCCATTTCATCGGTTATACTTCATCTTAACTCAACAAGCTGATCATGCTGAACATAAAATAGACTAAACTGATCATTTAAATGATTATGGTTCGAGAGTTGCCGGAAGAAATCGAAACTTGCTCGGTGATGGTCTTACTTAAACTTAATCGAACATAAGCACGATTTTACTCGACTTCTCGCATGAAATCTGAACAATTAACCTTAAATGGACCTTATCATCATGAACATAATTGGAAGAAGGGATTACCTCTCAAATTGAACGATCGAAATCGTAAAATAGGGCGTGGTCTCCTTTACTCGCGTGCGCGGTGCGATGATTCAAGCTTTGCCGTGCGATTTAATAGGACTTGTAGGGAATTTGGCTCAAGTTTTCGTTGCTGAATGAGGGAGTATGAAGAGGAAAATGTTTTGCTGAATTTACCTTAAGAAACATGGGCAAAATTTATCCCCAACCATGCCTTATATAATAAGCCGTAGGGGGAGATGAAGGTGACGGAGGGTTTATGTGGCTAATTGATCTCTTAACACTTGCTTAATCCTTAGTTGATTTAAGGTGACTCATCAACTCCTTTTTGCTGCCACGTATCCTAGAAAATTGAGGAGGAAAATTTGATTTCTTCCCTCAAAGAAAGCTACGGCTTTTAATATAAACTTGGAGAAATTCTCCCTAAGTGACACGGCTTTAGAGACTAATTAGGGTGAATCACTAATTAACCCTAACCTTGATGTTTACTTATTAATTAAACATAGTACTTAATTACCAAAATTTATTCCGAACGTAAACGGTACGTCGAAAATCAATTTCGGTAATTCCGACTGAACTTAATTAATTCCGAAAATAATAAACGATAACGTTATTATATCGGAACTAAAACGTAATTTCATACTGATAAATCTCGGGATATTACATCGATTATGGTAGATTTGGTCTGTTTTCGATTTAATGTTGAAACAATGAATTAGAAACTGTCTCCAGATTTTCCCAGGTTTTGCATTTGGGGCACCAACGTTTGTTCTTTGCCAATATCAACCAGCCACGCATATCAAACACTGTTAGAATTTTAGGTACGCAAATATCCAGGTTTCACACGAAAGTTGAAAAATAAAATACGCAGCAGAAAATAAATAACACGAACGATTCAAAAATTAGCATACAAGTGAAAATCACATATAGACTAAGGCAACATGCCAAAAATTCACTAGAACAAAACAATCACAATGTTTTCCAAACAATCCTAACACGTCTAGTGAATAACAAAAAACAAAACGCGAGTTTAAACGAAATCTCTATATCAAATCAAACTATCAAAAGTGAATAACAAAATAATCCCAAGAGAATGACGAATGAGTAGTAATAAAGAACACAAGCCCGGGGGATCCTTGTCATAAAAAATCTTCTTGCTTATCCGTCGGCTTCAACAAAAATCCCACAAAAGAACACTTGTTGTTGCTTTTGAACTCCAAGAAAAACCGTGTTGTGGAAAACCAATATACACTACTCCTTGATGTGTATTAGATACTCACGCCCCTTGCTGCTAATTTCCCTAGCACTTCAAAACACATACGCTGCTCCTCTTTCAAGAATATGGATGCCCTTCTTCGAAAACTCACGCCGGCACCTCTTATATTTTCCCAAGCCTAATTTTCCTCATTATTTCCATGATGTAGATTCCATCCTTATCTCTCTCTTTCCAAGCAAGAATCCTATTAAGAAAAGGAAACTATATAATAATAATATACTACCAAAAATAAAAACTAATATATATATATATATATATCTATACAAAAATAAACCAGAAAAGCAAAATAACAAATTAATCAAAAAATATGATTTAACAATCTCCCCCTTTTGCTTTTCTGAACAAAACAATATATTGAACTAAGCATTAAGCACTCCCCCTAAATAAACATTGAAAAACATATACAAAAGAGATAAGGAAGAGAAATGCAAACAGTGGTAAAGTCAAGCATTCCATCTCCTCCTTTTTGGTCAGAAAACAAGGATTTTATACGCCGAATATTAGAATGGTATGGCCTGAGCTCGGCTTCGGCTCCCCCTCAATCCTTGCATTAAACGACTACTCAATCTCAGCTCCCCCTAAGTTCGAGGGGTTGTGCGTGACCGCTTGAGGCATAAAATCATCGTTTATCTGAATCCCACTGTTGATGCAAACGATGTTGCAACTAAGCCCGATCTTGCAGTTCCAACATCACTAGATAAACCCAACTCAGAAGACTCGAGTCCATCTTCCGTTCTTCATCTCATATCTCCTGAACTGCTGCAAATTGTCAGGACTTCATAATCCAATTATATCTTTGTCGGGTCTGTTTTGCAGCTGGCCACGAATCTCACAAATCAACAACTTCGAGTTGTCGACCACCAGTTTGCTCCCATACACAATCTCCCTAAACAACTCGTGCTTCGAGGCAGGCCTGAGTTGCTTCAACTCCATGAGCGAATATGTGCTTTGGCTATAAATCGCACGATGCAATCTTGAAGAGTCTCCAGTACTCTCATCTAGATAGATCCTGAACAGGCTACTCCCATTGACTGCCCAAACATACATATCCACCAGTCCCCGTTGAGAACTGGTCAAGGCCTTCCTTCTCCTGGAATAGATTACAATAATTTTCCCGCAACAGTGGCGGAAACACATCTCGTGATATAGCAAGCAAAAGACGTGGTCGCTGTACATATCAACGAAAGAACAATCGAGGAGTCGTGGTCGGTGCCGGCAGAGACACGCTCTCACTTCTGTAGTGCATAACCGAATGGTGGGGGCCGCCGGAAACTGGAGAAGCGGGAGCAGAAGCGGAGCTAGCGTCGCTGGCTGAGATGTATCACCCTGGAGAGACGGATAGTGACGGCAGAGGCGCGGCAGAGGCATCGGCAGTTGGCGGCGGCAGAGGCGCGGTCTCACCTCGGCGAGAAACCCAGCCGGAGCGCCTATCCGAAAGCTGCAGGCCGCGAGCGGATACCTGAGGAGCGGAGTGGCCGTCGTCGGCTGAAGTTCTTCATCACCTTGGAGAGACGGTCGTCGTGAAAAATGACCAGACGGTGGCGGAAGGCGAGTCGCTGTGGCCGACGTTGAAGGAGTCGGCGAGATTTCTCAGGCTACGGCAAAGAGAAATCCGGAGAGGAGGAACCAATTGAAGCCAATTTCCTCTTCGATTGATGGGGGCATCGGAATTTTGGTGAACAATGATTGCCGATGAGAATTGAGCGGGATCAAATGGTGAGAGAACCCTAGGAATTTAAAATACGATACCTGATTTTGGACCTGTGTGAGAGACAAACTCAAAGAGAAAAAAAACATGAGAGGGAAAAAAAATAAAGAAAACAAACCACAATAAACAAGTTAGCAAAAAAATAGACCAAGAGAAACATTTTTTTTTTTTGGTTATATGAATTTTTATTATTTTTTTTAT